TTTGAGGATACCAGATTCCCTCCATCCTGTAAGCTGCACTGAGGCCCTTCTAGGTATGGGTACGTGAAGGGAACCTTCCTATTAAACTCAAGGTAGTTTTGGCTGAAGCAACCCTGACCCCCAGGACCACTGCAACCGAAACGTGCATGTTGCTGGAGGGTCTCAAACACAGGGCTTCATGATTTATCACAACACTTCCAAAGGCACTCCACACTGCCTTTGTGCTCAGAGAAACGTGTGTTTTGTTTGCTTTGAGACAGGTTCTCACCACATAGCCCTGGCTGGCCTGGAACTCGATATGTAGACCAGGCTGGCCTCAAACTCACAGAGATCTAACTGCCTCTGCCTCCCTGAGTGCTGGGAGTAAAGGTGTATACCACCATGCCCAGCCCACCTCTAAGACAATGCTTATATAAGTTATAATTCAAATATTTAATGGTAAGTATAAAAGACAATGGTAAGATATTATATAGTAAGCTGTAAAAATGTTGATCGTTATGAAAAAAAGTGGGTCAAGGTTTGAGTTCCAGCACCCCAAAAAGAAAAAACCAAAACCAAAAGTATAAAAAATAAAAGTATTTCTCCCTCCTGTTCCTACTGTCCCTCCCAATCTCCATTGTTACCTGTTTCCTGTAGAGATGATATTTTAGAAAAAATAATATGCTAAAAAATAAATGTTTGCAATAAAATGTAGATCCTGCCAGGTATGGTGGTGCAAACCTTTAATCCTAGCACGCGGGGAGGCAGGAGGCGGGAAGCAGAGGCAGGTGGATATTTGTGAGATTGAAGCCAGCCTGGTCTACATATTTAGTTCCAGGTCAGTCAGAGCTACATGATGAGACAAAAAAAAAAAAAAAAAAAAAAAAAAAAAAACCAACCCAGTGACTCCGCAGTTAGGAGTACTTCCAGGGGCCCGAGTTGGTTCTCAGCACCCATATCAGGTGGCTTATAACCATCTGTGACTCCAGCTCCAGGGAACCCAATGCCATCTTCTGGCCTCTGAGGGTACCTGTACATAGGTCACACACACACATATACATACATACACAAATAAATCTTTAAAAAAAATAGAACTAGGTGCTGTGGACATAGTTCAGTTGGCAAAGTATTTGCCTAGTATGCACGAGGCTCTAGGTTTGATCATTAGCACCCCATGAACTGAGAGTGGTGATGTATGCCTGTAATCTCAGCACTGGAGGCAGGACGATCATAAATTCAAAGTCATTGTTGATTATAAATTGAGTTCAAGGACAGTTTAGGCTATATGAGACTCTTTCAAAAAAAGTAGCTCTATATAATTATCTCAAGTGAATTGCTAAGAGGGCTGGGAAGGAGACTAATAAAAACTGGTGGGTATTAGCATAGTAGACCTATAATTTTCAGAAATCTCCTTTATGCTGTCATAATGGTTCTTTATGCCTCATATTTAAAACAGAGTAAAAAGCCAGGCGTAGTCGCTCACTTCTGAAATCCCAGCACTCAGGAGGCTGAGGTAGGAGGATTTCCATGAGTTCCTGGCCAGCATGAATTACACAGCAAGATCTGGAATAAAAACTCAATCATCCATCCATCAATCAATCAATCAATCAATCAATCAATCAATCAATCAATCAATCAATCAATCAATCAATCAATCAATCAATCAATCAATCAATCAATCAATCAATCAATCAATCAATCAATCAATCAATCAATCAATCAATCAATCAATCAATCAATCAATCAATCAATCAATCAATCAATCAATCAATCAATCAATCAATCAATCAATCAATCAATCAATCAATCAATCAATCAATCAATCAATCAATCAATCAATCAATCAATCAATCAATCAATCAATCAATCAATCAATCAACCAACCAACCAACCAACCAACCAATCCATCAACCAACCAACCCATCAAAGTAAATAAACAAGATGGGCTAGAAATACCAATTTGGGCAACATCAACTTTGAGGAGGTGGCTAAAAGTCAGGGGCACGGAGATGGTTAGGAGTGTACAAAGGGGATAAAGCCTAAATTTAGGGTAGGAATAAGGGGAAAAAGGCAGGAGGGAGCAGTAGAATCAAGAGGACCAGAAATATTGGGAGCAGAAGAAGGTGTGGTCTGAAGCACTCCCTACCACTGAGTGGCCAAGAAAGCTGTGGATTGTGAAGAGAGCCCTGGACTTTCATCCCAGGAAAGGAATGTTAGTGCTCAGAACATAGTTTAGGGACTATGGAATTATCTCACTAAAGCCTTGTGCCAGTGAGAATATTATTCTACAATGCCCTTACACCCAGGTTCATCACAAAGGAGAAATATCTGAGGCTTAGCTCCTTCACAGACCAATGCTTGTCACTAACTCCCTTCTACTCACCTGACTGCCCAGGAGGAGGGATTCCACCCAGTCCTCGAGGGAGCCTCACAAATACAGACAGGACAGCAGCTTTGTTACCAAAGCAGGGCTCCAGGGCAATGGGCTTGGGAACAGTCTGGAGAAAGAGAACAATGAATTCCCTTAGCTTATCTAGACATTTCATAGTTATTTACAAGGTCACAAAGTTTTGGTACTCGGAGGAACAACATTTTTTTAACTAAAAATTTATTTTTACTTTTAATTTACTGTATGTGTGTCTGTGTTTGTGTATGTCATGGAAGCGAGCACTGGATATCCTGGAGCTGGAGTTACAGGTGGGTATGAGCCACCTGTCATGGGTGCAGGGTCCTTTGGAAAAGTAGCTTCCTCTGAGGCCTCTCTTCAGCCCCCAGAAACAGTTTTTAAAATAAGAAAAATGATACAGTGAATAGTATTCACTGCGTACCAGTGAGAGGGATGGTAGTGCTCTGCTATCTTCCACTGAGGTTTCCATAGCTACTGTCCCAAACAGCTGCCTGAGCGCCAGGGAAGCATCCACATCAGGTGGCTCTTTTTGGGTTCTTCACTTTTGCTCTACTTGAAATCCTAACTCATGTTAATTATTTATTTATTTTTATTGTATGCAAATGAGTGTTTTGCTTGCATGTATATAAGTGCCCCTTGTGCACTGCCTGTGGAGGCCAGAAGAGGGCAGTGGATTCCATGGAACTGTGCTTACAGACAGTTGTTAGCTGCCATGTGGGTGTTGGGAACTGGACTCAGGTCCTCTGCAAGAGTAGTCACTGCTCTCAACTACTGAGCCATCTAGTCAGTAACCCCCAACTTACATCTGTAGGTCACTGATGGGCAGTGTGTGCTTGGTAAGCTGTCAGACAGTTCTTTTGCACACTTAGTGCAAACACAGACCCTGACATTATAAAGCTGGTTGTTTTCTATATCAAAGCTTATTCCATGTGTCCTTCAGCAACTGTAATAAGCCCATAAGGTTAAGAACTCATGAAAGGTGGGTATCTCACTAAATAGGATTCCTCATCTATGGATACTTTTGCCTCTGGAAAATATCTTCATTTTCTGTTGCTGACTTTGTTTTTTAAAAAGATTTTTACAGATAGGACAAGGGTGAAATCAAATTGTTGGCTGGGCTGGGCTTTCATCCGGAGGTTCTGGGGAAGAATCTATTTTGAAATTCCTTCTGGTTGCTGGCAGTTCAGTTCTTTGGGAATTAAGTTCAAGGCCCCCATTTTCTTGCAGTCAGGCAGGGGCCACTCTCTTTCCTAGAGGCTTTCCTTCTCACATGGCCTCCTCTACCCCAAACCAGGGATGCTACATTAAGTCCTTCTTAGGCTTTGAATCCCCCTGGGCTTCCTCTGTATCTTAGGGTGAGCCACTTTACGACTTTTATCATATCTGTAAAATCCCTTCATAACAATACCTACATATGATGGGATGGGGTTTTGATGGGATATGATGATGGCAGTGGAATTTACTGAATGAGGGATGATATGCTGGAGAAGCAGTTCTGAGAATAGTATTTGGGACTCAGCTGGGACATGTTAAGTCTAAGATGTATATGTTAAGTCACATATAAAGGAAAACCCATCAGAATTATAGCTGACTTTCCAGTGCAAACTATGAAAGCCAGAAGAGCCTGGACCAAAGTATTCCCAGTTCTAAATGACCACAGATGCCAACCCAGAACACTATCCAGCAAAAATGTCTATTATAGTTGAAGGGGAAAGAAAAATCTTCCATGACATAAATAGGCTGAAAGCATTCATGTCCATAAATCTTCCATGACATAAACAGGCTGAAAGCATTCATGTCCATAAAACAAGCCCTTCAGAGAGTTCTTAAACCAGTACAAAGAGCTGAAGAAAGGAATAACTATACCTAATGGGTAACAAAAAGAAACTTAATGAAGGTATAACTGGAAATGCAGTTAGACCAAGAATGCAAACAGAAATCAAAATGACAGAGATCAATACACATCTTTCATTAATAACTTTAAATATCAATGGACTGAACTCCCTAGTCAAAAGACACAGGTTAGTAGAACAGATTAAGATACAAAATCCATCTTTCTGTTGTCTGTAAGAAACTCATCTCATCTTCAAGGACAGGCACTGCCTTAAGGTGAAAGGATAGGAAAAAATATTCTAAACAAATGGTACTAGAAAAAAAAAGCAAGAGTTGCAATTCTAGTATCTGACAAAAGAGACTTTAAACTAAAGCTAATCAGAAAAGATAAAGAAGGTCACTTTATTCTGATCAAAGGAACAATTAACCAAGAAGATATTACAATCATGAACATTTATGTACCCAACATCATAAAAACAGTACTACAGGACTTTAAGACTCAGATTAATCCCAACTCATTAATAGTAGGGGACTTTACTACCCCATTTTCTCCATTAGAAAGATCAATGGGACAAAGAATAAATAGAGACATCTGAATTAAACAGTACCATACATCAAATGGACCTAACAGACATCTACCAAATATTCCACCCAAACATCAAAGAATACACTTTCTATTTAGCGCCCCATGGAACTTTGTCCAAAATCGACCACATACTGGGGCACAAAACAAGCCTCAACAATACAAAAAAAATTGAAATAATTCCCTGCAGTCTATTAGACCACAATGCAATAAAGCTTAAAATCAACACTGGAAGGAATCCTAGGAACTACATGAACTCATGGAGATTAAACAACACACTCCTGAATGATGAATGGGTCAAAGGAGAAATTAAGAAAGAAATAAAAGCATTTCTGGAACTAAATGAAAAGGGCAATACAACATAACAAAATCCCTGGGACAATTTAAAAGCAGTCCTTAGAGGGAAGTTTATAGCTCCAAGTGCCTACATTAAAAAATGAGAAAGAGCCAGGCATGGTGGTGTACGCCTTTAATCCCAGCACTTGGGAGGCAGAGGCAGGCGGATCTCTGTGTGGTTGAGGCCGGCCTGGGCTACAAAAACCTCTGGGACATATTGATAGCAGTCCTTAGAGGGAAGTTTATAGCTCTAAATGCCTACCTTAAAAAAAAAAAAACAGAAAGAACACAAATAAAGGATTTAACATTGCAACTCAAGACACTTGAAAAGCAACAACAAATGAAACCCAAACCCAGCAGACAAGAAGAAATAACAAAAATCAGAGTAGAAATTAACAAAATAGAAACAAAGAAAACAATACCACTGGGTGTGGTGGTGCACGCCTTTAATTCCAGCACTTGGGAGACAGAGGCAGGTGAATCTCTGTGAGTTTCAGGGCAGTCTGGTCTACATAGTGAGTTCCAGGTCAGCTGGGCAACTAGGGCTATAGGGAGACTTTGTCTCAAAAAGACCAAAAAACAGAAAAGAAAACAATATAACAAATCTACAAATCTAAGAGCTGGTTCTTTGAAAAGATAAACAAGACTGACACACCCTTAGCCAAGAAAGAAAGAAAAAGAAAAGAGAAAGAAAGAAAGGAAAGAAGAAAGGGAAGGAGATAGGGAGGGAAGGAGGAAGGGAGGGAGGGAGGGAACCTCCAAATCAACAAAATCAGAGATGAAAGGGGAAACATCACAACAGACAACAAAAAGATCCAGAACATTATAAGGGAATACTTTAAAAACCTACATGCTAGTAAGTTGGAAAACCATAAAGAAATGGACGGAGATCTAAAATCATGGGAACCACCAAAACCAAAACAAGAAGAGATCAACAGCTTAAACACACCCATGACAGATAAAGAAATTTAAACAGTAGTACAAAATCTCCTGACTGAAAAAAGCCTAGGCCTAGATGGATTTACAGCAGAATTCTACCAGACATTTAAAGATCTACATCCAATATTACTTAACTTATTCAAAAAGATAGAAACAGAGGGAGAACTTCCAAATTCCTTCTATGAAGCCAGCATCACTCTAATACCAAAACCAGGTAAAGATACAACAAAAAAGGAAACTATAGACCCATGTCCTTAGTGAACACAGATGCAAAGATACTCAACAAAATACTTGCAAACTGCATACAGACACACATGAAAAAGATCATCCACCACGATCAAGTTGGCTTTATTCCAGAGATACAGGGATGGTTCAATATATGTAAGTCAATAAATGTCATAAATCGTATAAATGGACTCAAAGACAAGAACCATATGGTCATGTCAATAGATGTAGGGACTCAAAGACAAGAACCATATGGTCATGTCAATAGATGTAGAGAAAGCCTTTGACAAAATTCAACATGCACTATGTTCAAAGTCCTAGAGGGAATTGGACTGGAGGAACATACTTCTATATAATTAAAGCTATGTACAACAAACCCACAGCCCACATCATTCTAAATGGAGAAAAACTGGAAGAATTCCCATTAAAACCAGGAACCAGACAAGGCTGTCCACTATCTTCACTCCTTTTCAACATAGTGCTTGAAACTCTTGCTAGAGCAATAAGACAGGAGAAGGAAATTAAAGGAGTAATAATTGGAAGAGGTTGAACTATCACTTTTTGCAGATGATATGATACTATACTTAAGAGATCCCAAAAGTTCCACCAGAAAAGTCCTAGAATTGATCAACACTTTCAGTAAAGTGGCAGGTTACAAAATTAATCTACAAAAATTAGTAGCCTTTCTGCACACCAGTAACAAGCAATCAGAGAAAGAGTACATGGAAACACTCCCTTTCATAATAGCCTCAAATCTTTAAAGAAAGGGATTTAGGAAGAAACCAGAAGACGGAAGGACCCCCCATGCTCACGGATTGGAAGAATTAATATTGTGAAAATGACCATCCTACCAAAAGCCATTTATAGATTCAATGCAATGCCTACCAAAATCCCCATGATATTCTTCACAGGATTAGAAGAAAAAAATCCTAAAATTCATATAGAAGCACAAAAGACCCTGATAGCTAAAGCAAATCTGAGCACAAAGAGCAATGCTGGGGGGGGGGATTACTATACCAGATTTCAAACTATATTACAGAGCTATAGTTATAAAAAACAACATGGTACTGGCACAAAAATAGACCCGTAGATCAATGGAACAAAATTGAAGACCCAAATAAGAGTACATGCAATTTCAGCCACCTGATATTTGATGAAGGGGCCAAGAACATTCC